TCATTCCCATTTTTAAACTACCACAAAATATTTTTGACAAATATAAAAAAAAATAACTATCTTAGTCATACATGTATATAATTATACGAAGCCTTAGCATTTATTAAACTACAATTATATATTTTCAAAACATGTCATGGCACATTGAAAACAACAAACTATATTTCTTTTCGAATAAAAAAATTATTTCTTCTTCGTTCCCATATTATAGTTGTATATTAACAAATATCTATATTTGGTTACATATGGTTATTAACTCACTAATAACATTAAGATCCAATTAAATCGTAAAAAAATGTAGAAATACGAACACATAAATTCGTCAAACACTCTTATCTGTAAATAAAAACATGTCTTTACTCACTAATAAATATTGATCTCTAAACATTCCACACAACCCCTTAACAAACATGTTTCATCTTTTTCTCTTCAATCCATTAAGCTATATTTCTTTGTATAATTTAATAAAATGTTAATTTTTTTTAAATGCTAATTCACTATTTAACAATAATATACTACCAACCTACAAATTAGACAATAACAACATAATAAATCACCCATCCTAGACATAAAAGCACTAATAACACAAATATTCGAGAAAATCATTACTAAAATAATATATGAATATTTCAAAGCATATGAATTTTCACTCATTCATATACCAACTAAATTCAATCGGGTTTTCGGTTAAATCCCAAACAAAAAAATGTCCAAAAAAATGACAAAATCCCATCTATAAAACATCATAACGCATCATCATTGTCTCCGGCTCCGCGCTTGCGCGGAGCTATGAACCTAGTTTTTTTAATAACTGAGTAACGAATATTAGGATTTGCTAATCTTTGAATTGCGTCATTCAATTTGTTTGATATCAAATTAATTACTCCCATGACTAGAGCTGATTTGGATAATTCACTTTGATATAATTAAACGTTAACATATACACAACTACACATTATCATATTCCCTTGGAGAAAAGAAGAAGACACGGTGTCTCTCCATCATTACAATCACACTCCCTTTTTCACTTTCAGGAATTTAGGCATCTCTCACCACCACTATTGTTTTTTCTTTTATCATTTTCTATTCCCTCCATAATTATCGTTCTGTTAATTTTTTGTCGGTATTATTCTATTTAAACGAAATTTATTCAATTAAATGAAATTTATTCCTTGAATATTTGGTTAATAACTAGTGTAGTGAAGACACCAGATTCCCCTATGTTCGGTTACGTGAAGTCAAGCGGTTATATAGACCCAAGTAACATGATCATTTTCATTACTCTGGAAATAGTTTCAAACATATTCTCCTCCGGTCACCTTCTCTGACCAATCCTGACTTCTTCTTCTTGTCTCTTTGTTCCTTGCTCACCAAGAATCTCTTATCTCTTCTTCTTCCTTCTTTCAGTTGCTATGCCTCCGACCTACTTCCCTCTCCGGTGGGAGAGCACCGGCGATCAGTGGTGGTACGCTACACCTATCGACTACGCCGCCGCCAACTGCCAGTACGACCTAGTCCGTGAGCTTCTCCGAATAGACTCCAACAACCTCATGAAACTCACTTCCCTCCGCAGAATCCGCCGCCTCGAGACCGTCTGGGACGACGACGAGTCCCACTTCCACGACGTCGCCGCGTGCAGGTCACGCGTAGCCAGAAAACTCCTCGCCTCCTGCGACGAAGAAGGCTCCGAGTCCAACACTCTCATCCGTTCCGGCTACGCCGGCTGGCTTATGTACACGGCGGCCTCCGCCGGAGATCTAGGCTTCGTTCGCCATCTCCTCGAGAGGAACCCTCTGTTCGTGTTCGGCGAAGGAGAGTACGGTGTCACTGACATACTCTACGCCGCTGCGAGAAGTAAAAACCACGATGTGTTCCGTCTGGTTTACGATTTCGCGGTTAGTCCGAGGTTCGAAACCGGCGGTTTTGATCAGGGAAACGGTGATATTCCGGAGGCTTATAAGAGGGAGATGAAGAACAGAGCGGTTCACTCTGCTTCTAGAGGAGGCAATCTTGTTATTCTCGGAGAGCTTCTTAGTGATTTCTCTGTTGAAGATGTCTTAACCTTCCGTGATAAACAAGGCTCCACCATCCTCCACGCAGCCGCCGGAAAAGGAAAAACTCTGGTAACTTAACTCTTTTTACTATTTTACCCAAAAAAGAAAAAAAAACTAACTCATTCTACTACTTATATTCCCTCCATTTTTTAATATACATGTTTTGATTTAGTACACAAATATTTAAAAACTTATGTTCTGGTAAAAATATTTTTAAAAACTATAATTTAAAATCATTCAACCAATTATAAAAAAAAAAATTTAAAATTCTACTGGTTGAACAGTTTTTAATAAATTTAAAATTAATCTTAACATCTCAAAACATTTATATTATGAAACAAAATAAACATTCTAAAACATTGAAACAGAGGTAAGTATATATAGAGAGATTAAACAGCATTTTGGATGATGCAGGTGGTTAAAGAGCTTGTGGCTTCATACGGCTCTTTAATAATAAACGCCATAGACAGCCAAGGGAACACGGCTCTACACGTGGCAGCCTACCGTGGCCACGCTGATCTCGTTGAAGCTCTGATCTCAGCCTCTCCATCTTTAATCTCCGCCAGAAACAAAGCTGGCGACACTTTCCTCCACGCCGGGATCTCCGGTTTCCAGACCCCGGCGTTCGAGAGGCTTGACAAGCATGCTGAGCTCATGAACCGTCTCATAACCTCCGCTGCCTCAAACTCCCCCTGCGATGTCGTTAACTGCAGGAACAACGAGGGACGTACGGCTCTTCACATGGCGATCTCTGGGAACGTTCCTCTTGAGTTCGTTGAGATGCTTATGTCTGTGAAATCGATTGATATTAACGTCAAGGATGGTTCTGGTATGACTCCGCTTGATCTCATTAGGCATAAGCCGCAGTCTCCGACGTCTGATATACTGTTCCGACGGTTGGTTTCAGCCGGAGGGATGTTGAGTTGTCGTGATCAGAGGAGTATAACAAGTGTGGTCGCGTCTCAGTTGAAAGATAGAGGGAATTTTTATAGCCCTGGAGCTCGGTTTAGGACATCTGACGCTGAGATATTCTTGAGCACGAGAGTTGAAGCTGTGCCTAGTAGGCACGTGAGATCAAGCTCTTGTTCTATTGAGAGTTGTCAGGTTAACGTGACGGATGAGAATCATCATCTCAAGAAGTGTAGAAACGCTTCTGTTAACTCTGCGACGGAGAGACTAAAGAGCGTTTTCCACTGGCCACGGACCAAGAAACAAACCGGACATTCCAAGAACGATTCTGAGATTAGTATCGCGTCGACAGTTCTTGAGACGCAAGAAACTCCTCCTGTGCCTCTCCGACAGAGATTTTCAAAAAGCAGCACTTCGTCGTCTCCTGCTCTTCCTAGTAATAATAATAAAAGGACTTTATCGGTGAGAAGTAACCAGTCGAGTCCAAGAGCCAAGAAAAAGCGGTTTGGTTCGGTACGATCTCGTTCAAGCTCTTTTTCGAAAATTTCATTCCACTCTTCTTCGGCTTCTTCAACGTCAAGCATGGTTGATGTTAAGCAGAAGGGAGTGTTGATTGATACGGATATAGCCGGACCGTCTGGAATTAACCGGGCAGAGGCGGTGAAAAGTAAAAAGGTAAAAGAGAAGGGGAGGAGGAGACATTACTTCTGCTTTGGTGCTTCAGCTTTGTCTGTGAAAACACCAGCTACTGTCTTGGTATAATCCGGTTTTTAAAACCCGGTTTGGCGAACAACAGAAATATTGTAGTGTATTTGCTAAAGTTGAGTTACCTGCTGTTTTGGTTTCTAGCACCATGTAGTCTAAAGAAAACTCCTTGCCAGTTCAGTGATTGATTCGAAATAATAATTAAGGTCTCTTTTGAAATAATTAATGTAAGTATATCCTTTTACTAATGGAATCTATAAACCATAAGAAAGGATTATGTGTGCTTCTTAGAAGTCCGAAAAATTATATTTTGAAAAATGCTAGCATATAATTAGGGCTGGCAAATAAACCGAACCCGATTTAAATACCGAATGGATCTTGTTTTATGGTATTTCGGATTATGGGTATTATCCGAACCGAACCCGAAATTCAATGGATATCCGATAGAACCCAAAACATTCAATTTTTTAATAAGAACGTGTACCGAACATGATCTTAATTCCTAATATATATCAAAATATTTTAAGATATTATTAAACATCTAAAATAATTATCTATTGCATGAATGTTGATGGTTGAAGGTGGCGGTTGAAACTTGAAATTTTTAGATTAAAGTTTTGTTATTACTGAATAATGTTTCTCACTTTTTAAGAACTTGGTTTTCGTTTTATGCTTTCATTTATTTGGTTTTCTTTCTATTAATAACTATGTTTACTTTCATTTGATTTTGAATGATCAATTTTACTTATGTTTTGGTTATAAAATAGTTAGACATTAGGTACTTTAAATCTGAAGAACCAATTTTAGTTATGTTTTGGTGACTTTTGTGTAAAAAAAAAAGTTATGTTTTGGTTACAAAGTAGGTACAAATCAAGTAATTTTAAACCAAAGAACCGAGTGGGACCCGAATCTGAAAGTATAATAGGTTGTACTGGTTCTTTAAAGATTTACTAACCCCGAACCGATCCCAAACCGAACTTTCAAATAATCCGAATGAGACTGATTTTGATAAACCCGAAGAACCGAGACCCAATTGGACAAAACTGAAATCCGAATGGGACCCGAATATCCATGCCTACATACAATTGTATTAGCAAAAACCACGATGCTTTATCAACTTTTTCTATGAAATCTTGTTCTATTCGCAAATTCAAAAGTTAAATGACCAACAAGAAAGGGAGAAGAAGCTAGCGACACTTGTGTAATCGCGCAGGGCCACTGGTGTGAAAAGGTTCAATCTGGAAACGAAGAAAAGGGGAAAAGATAACCAGAAATGACAGCATATTTCTATAAAAGAACAGGTTTGGCTTAAATTGTCTGAACTCCAGAAACAAGAAAACCTTACAAGCCTGCATTATTGACGATCGTTGCTTATATATAAGACGAATCACACTACTAGAAGTTCCTCTCTGAATGCTTTTTAATCTTAGGCAGCTACTTGAGGAGAAGGAGGAGTCCTCTTCTTGCCTTTCTTAACCTCTGTTCCACCATTTTCTGCCTGTTCTGCCTTCTTCTGGGCACGAATCATTGCTCGTCTAGCGCGGGGTCGCATCTCTCTCACAGTACGAGGCGGCATAACGAAAGGCTCGAGTGGCTTGTCCCCAAAAGGATGCTCATTGCCTTCAAATATCCTCAGCTTCCGATCTCTGTCCTATATGAACAAACAAAAACACTCAGTATCTTGTTGTAAACTACGCAAGCAATTGAGAGAGTAGCAACAATTAAACAAAGTGAGAAATAATAATGTATCAGCATATAAATAAGCCAACCAAAGATAAAGGTAAGCAACAAGTAATGTTCCTACTCTCAACCATTGCAAAACAAAGAAATGAAAAAGTTTTGACTCACATCACGCAAATTGTTAGATGGAAGCATGCGCAAGACAGCTTTACGGATGACCTCAGTGGGGTCTTTGGCCATCTGATCTTTCAGAGTCCGTTCTTTGAGGTGTCCAACGTACCTGTAAAGAAAGAGAGATTAATATTTAAACTAGAAGCAAAAAGAGAAAAATATGATAAATCCCTCAATGATATCAAAAAGGTGGGAAGAGGTAAACATACCCAGTATGCCAGTGGTAGATCTTGTCAGTGAGCTTTCTTCCAGTGATGCCGATATCCTTAGCATTGAGAACAATGCAAATATCGCCATCGTCGCGGTTAGGACAATAAGTAGGCTTATCTTTGGCTTGAAGCACAGTTGATATCTGAGATGCTAGTCTCCCCAGCACCTGGCCTTTAGCATCAAAAACACGCCAACGAAGACCGTCGAGATTGATTCGCTTTATCCCTGCCACAGCTTTCTGCAAGGAAAAAAACACATATTCAATTACCAAACAAGGGAAGGTCCTAACTCAAAGCGAGTTTCTTGCATAAGGTCCAAGATACGCTAGTTTCTGCTAGTATGGGTGACACACTATCAGGAGCATAATCAGACAAGTGATCATCGTTCCACATGAAATGAATTTAAAGAGGGAAATGTAATTATAAGATGACCTAAACGTTACCTATTGGAACAGTAAAAAAGGAAGTAAAACTATGTTACCTTAAGGTTGCCATTGAAAGAGGCGGCAGCAGCTTGAGTGGCCATGGTTCCTTCTTCAGCTAACACACAAGATAAAATCGCAAATAAGATTTGGAAGCCTAAATGAGATTTCACCTATACAGATTCATATAGACAAGTATGCAGCGCGAGGGGAAGAGAAATGACTGACCGTTAAACCGATGAGAAGCGACGGCGGCGATGAGCAGCGAAGATCTAAGTAAGGATCGGATCTTTGTTTGGGAAACAATAAGGAACAAGGGTTTTAGAGACGGAAGGGGTATTTTGGTAATTTTACAAAACCAAACCTCATTTTTTTTCAACTTTTTAATAATAAGTTTTTAGTCGTGGTCTGAGGGTTTTAGCGCAGTCTTTGCTTTGGTTTGCTTTGCTTGTTGAAATGGCTATGTCTATGTTTGTGAGACGAGCTGCAACTAGTCGAAATGCGATTGCCTTTCTCAGAAGATGCTCTTCCTCCTCCTCCTTACTCGTTGGTGTTCAATCGCATCGTGATTACTCGCACAAGGCCACTACCACCTTGAGATTAGGAGGATCCACCCCAGATTTGGATTTGAGCTTGCCTAGTTTTCTCAGAGATTCTCGTCGAGGCTTCGCCAAAGGCAAAAAATCAAGTACGCTTCTTTACACACTGATTCTTTTACTAATTACTCACTGCTGTGAATCGATATATTCTTACCCCATTCTTTTTGCAGAGGATGATTCAGGTTCGTCTGGATTGGTGGATGCATCTCCAGATATAGGGCCTACAGTGAAAGCCACAGCCACGTCACAGATGGAGGCTGCTATTGATGCCTTGGCTAGGGATCTCACTAAACTCAGAACTGGACGAGCTGCTCCAGGTTTGCTTTTTTTATTATTCCTTCTCTCCTTCTTTTTAAGCAAGCAACTCAAGTGTGCTTATTCTTGGGGCAGGAATGCTTGATCATATTGTTGTTGAAACTGGGGGACTCAAAATGCCACTCAATCACTTAGCTTTGGTCACTGTCCTTGATCCTAAAACTTTGTCTATCAATCCTTACGATCCTGATGTAAGCCCACCCCTCCTCCTCCCAACTTTGCACTAAATCCCCTATTATACATAACTCTGATTTTGCTTTGGTAATCATGTTTTATATTTGTTTCTTGCAGACTGTAAAAGAGCTTGAGAAAGCTATTGTTGCTTCACCCTTGGGATTAAACCCTAAACTTGATGGCCAGAGACTTATAGCATCTATCCCTCCGTACGCCATTTTCAAAACATTACTCTCTTTTGGTTAGTGATTACAGTGTTGATCTTATACTCCTCGAATTTGACTTGGTCTGTTTTACCTTTTTGGTGCAGATTGACCAAGGAGCATGTTCAGGCAATGTGCAAGATTGTAACCAAGTCCAGTGAAGTTGTGAAGCAAAGCATTAGAAGAGCCCGGCAAAAGGTAGAAGAGTTTAAAAAACGTCCATGTATAAACTGTCTCCTATGAATCCTAATCTGAGAGACATTTTGCTATCAGGCACTGGACACAGTAAAGAAAGCAGCTTCAGGTCTACCAAAAGATGAAGTTAAAAGGCTTGAGAAGGACGTGAGTGTCATCTATCTATCTATCTTTCCTGCTTAAATAATGGGTTTCCTTCTTCCCTTGTTGTTGAAGCATGGAGTCTTTCTTGTGTTTTACAGGTAGAAGAGTTGACGAAGAAGTTTGTAAAGTCAGCAGAGGACATGTGCAAGTCCAAAGAGAGAGATATCACCACCCAAGCCTGATGATCTCCTCACTTTCCACCCTTAACATTATCCATCAAATTGGCTGAACATGTTTCAGTCTTTTTTTTTTTACAAATCTACCTCTATTATAGATGATTATCCAAAGAATTCAATATTTGTTTTTGAATGTTCAATTTGGGGGGTCTTGAATGCAAATTTGACACAGGCTCTGAAAGGCCCTTCAAGGGCCCGTAAAAGTCCATTTTAATTGAATTGTTTTTTTTCCAGATAAATTGCATGTCTGTTCATTTTAATGTTTTATAGTGGGATAAGAATTAACAAAAGAAATGATATATTGGCATTTGTAGTTGAAGAGAACTTTCCAAACTTGAAATTCAAGTTAAGGGAGGTTGGAGATAAGTCAATTTTGGCACCAATAAATCAGCATTATATATTCTGTTGAATCTGTTACAACCCATTTCTCTAATTGTATTTGTGTAGTGAGCAAAGAATAATCCAATGATTAATTTCTTAAGAAAGTATCCAGTTTATATAATAAGTTTATCTCAACATTCAGTGTTGTTTTTTTTAATTTTTCGTGCAACAACATTCAGTGCTTTTAAACTTCATACATAGTATACAATTAAACAAAAACCATATCTTCAACAAAAATAAATTAAGGAAGATAAACCGTCCTCACCAACCACACAATCTTATTGTTTATTAATTAGCTGCATTTAACAAATGCATTTTTAACTATGAATAAAATTGTAGGTATATAATTATTATATTGAGCCATATAGTTTGTCGGCAAATAGATATAGACATGTATACACATGGTTTTTAACAAGAAAAGAAAAAAGATTAAGACATAACAGTATCCAATTTTGCCCACTCGCATTTATGTAGGAGAAGAAGGGAATCAGCCAGAGTAATGAGTTTTCTCACCAAACGCGCGAGAAAAGCGCGTCGACACTCACTTCTATACTCGTAACGTCGTCGTTTAATTAGATCGTTGCACGACCAAACTCCTTTTTTTCTTAATTTTTATTCAGTTTCAGATATTTACAAAATGAAATTCTCTTTCTTTTTCTCTTTATTTTGGCATCATAATTATTTTCATTTTCTTCTCTATAGATTCTCCATTCTCTGTCAGTGGCTCATATCCTCTGTTCAACAAAAACGCACACAACAAGAAAAGGAACAAAAGAAAAAACTATAAAAAACTTTAATTTCAGTCTCCTGTGAAGAAGAAGAAGAAGAAGCATTCACATTTTCGTTACAGAGATTTTGCTCTTGTTAGGTATTCTCTCAGATCACTTCTTACTAATGCTCTGCATATTACATTGATTGACTGCTTTTTGCTATATTAATCTCTGTTGGTTTGATTAGATCTGATTTAAGATATGCAAACAAAGAACCACTCAGAAAATCTCTACTTGTTGGATTTTTGGATCTTGATCAAATCTTAAATTAGTCTGTACTTTCTTGTTCATGACTATACTTTATGTTAATGCATTGTCTAAACATCTAACACCTTCGCTAATTAATTTCACATCACAAAAAAAAAAAAAGTTTGAATGCTAAGGTTTTGTAGTGTGTTTATAGGCAAAAAAAATGGTATTGGGGTTAAGCTCGAAGAGCCACCGAAGAGGAAGCTCCTCGTCGTCATCAATACAAGTAGATTACTTAATCCACATTCACGACATCAAACCATGGCCACCTTCTCAATCCCTTAGATCACTCCGCTCCGTTGTAATCCAATGGGAGAACGGTGAACGCAACTCCGGGACAACAAACGCAGTCGCTCCATCTCTCGGATCAGTCATTGGAGAAGGCAAAATAGAATTCAACCACTCCTTCAAGCTTCCCTTAACCTTGTTGAAAGATGCCTCTGTTGCGTCTCGGAACAACAACAACAAGGGTGGTTTCTTGAAGAACGTTCTTGAGCTCAACTTGTACGAGCCACGCAGAGAGAAAACACATCAGCTCTTGGCTACTGCAACGGTTGATTTAGCGGAGTATGGGGTTGTGAAAGAGAGTTTGAGTTTGACTGCTCCGATGAATAGTAAAAGAAGTTATAGGAATACTACTCAGCCTGTTTTGCACCTCACTGTTCAACCTGTAATCCGTCGTGCCACGTCGTCTTCTTCTTCTAGTAGGAAGGATGGTGAATCTGTTTCTGCTTTGATGAATGAGGAATATGATAAGGAAGCTGAGATTGCTTCTATTACTGACGATGATATTTCTTCTCACTCTTCCTTGACGGTTTCTTCTTCAACTTTGGAGTCTAATGGTGTGGCAAATGAAGAGGTAATCAACATTTTTCATTTTCTTTTTGATTTGTTAGTTAGAATGTGGTCTCATATGTCTGTTATGTTATTTACAGGAAGAACATGAGAGGGTAAGCAAACAGGAGAAATCATCTGAGAGCAGACAAGGAGAAACTGGTGACAAGATTCCCTCCTCAGTTGATCTATCTTCTGTGTTTAATCTCCCTGTGGTGGACGTTCCTGATTCTTTACCAAACGTGTCTGTGTCTGAGCTCGAGGACTGTGCTAATGTGTCCATATTAACCGATTCTAAGGAGAGCTCTAAGCTGGTAAGCGGCGAGACCAAGTCTATGCCTTTACAAACCGATGATCACTCCTCCATAAACGCCTCTGAAACTAGTCAAGATTTGGTGAGTGATAAGGAGGAATTAGAGAGTAGAGTTGAGAAATCAAGTAAGGTGAAGAAGTCTGTTAGGTCACCACTGGATATTTCACGGAGCAATAGCCGGTTAAGTCTATCCAGCGAGAGAAAAGAAGCTAAGGTGTTTCCACGCGACACCACTTTGGAGAACAAAGTAGTCAAGGAGGAGCTGGAAAGTAAAGTAAAGAAGCTTGAAGGTGAGCTATGTGAGGCTGCAGCAATTGAAGCAGCGCTCTACTCCGTGGTTGCAGAACATGCAAGCTCATCAGCTAAAGTCCATGCACCTGCTAGACGTCTTTTGAGGTTGTATAGACAAAACCATCTTTCAAGAAGGGCTAATACAGCTAAAAGTATTGTCTCCGGGTTGGTTATTGTCTCCAAAGCGTGCGGGAACGATGTCCCTAGGTATGTATCGTGATACTCTTCTACATTTTTTTTGTTCATTCTCTTATTTAAAATAAAACTTTGGATGGCAGATTGACATTTTGGTTGTCAAACACTATCATTCTGAGGGCGATTATAAGTGATAATACTAGTTTAGAGGAGGAGGAACTGCCTGTTTCTGCTGGTCCTGGACCAAGGAGAAGTAAGACAGGATCCGAGAAACGATCATCTTTGACGTGGAAAGAATCTTCTCCACTAAGCAAAAAGAACAATGGTGCATGGGATGACCCTAGAACATTTATAACAGCTCTTGAGAAAGTGGAAGCTTGGATCTTCTCACGCGTTGTAGAATCCATATGGTGGCAGGTAATAATGCACTCTGCTTTGTCTTATAAATCAAATTATAACTAAACAAGTGAGTGAGTGTTGTTGTCCCGTTTTTGATTTGCAGACTTTGACACCGCGTATGCAGTCGTCAGCAGCCAATGATGGTTCAGCCTCAACAAAGAAGAAAAACTTTGGTAGAACTCCGAGTACAGTGAACCAAGAACAAGGCGACTTCTCATTAGAGCTTTGGAAAAAGGCTTTCAAAGATGCACACGAGCGTTTATGCCCTCTGCGAGCTAGTGGCCATGAATGTAGTTGTTTGCCTGTCCCTGCACGTCTGATAATGGAACAGTGCGTGGCAAGGCTAGATGTGGCAATGTTCAATGCTATACTTCGTGATTCTGATGAAAACTTCCCAACAGACCCTGTTTCTGATCCCATTGCAGACTCTAGAGTCTTGCCTATTCCTTGTACTATAACAAGTTTCGGTTCTGGTGCCCAGCTTAAAAACTCGGTTAGTGCATTTAATTTAACTCCCAAGCTTGCAATGCTTATTATGGTGTAAGTAAAGCTCTCAATGCGTTTTTCTAATATTTTAAAAACAGATAGGAAACTGGTCCTTGTGGCTCACTGATTTATTTGGAATCGATGATGACGAAGATGAATCGTTCAAGACTTTTATTCTCCTCAAAGCGTTAAGCGATCTAATGATGCTTCCAAAAGATATGCTCCTCAACACTCGTGTTAGAAAAGAGGTGTGCAAAAATGCTACTATAACACACCTTTTTTTCTTATCTTCTTAACCTTTTATATTTTGTGTTTCGTGATCGATGATTCTATCTCTCTCTCTCGTCATTGTGATGAAGGTTTGCCCAATGTTTGGTGCACCGTTGATCAAGAGAGTGTTGGATAATTTTGTCCCTGATGAGTTTTGCCCTGACCCAGTTCCTGTTGCTGTTCTCCAAGCTCTTGAATCAGAGGAGGTGAGCCCCTTTCTTTTTAATAAAAAAAAGAAGCTAAGTTTTACTTAACAGAAACGTGATGATTCCCCTTCTCTTGTAGGAGGATGGAGAAGAGAAGGCTATGATCACAAGCTATCCATGTACGGCACCTCCTACAGTGTACTCTCCACCTTCAGGGACTTCAATATCTACTATCATTGGAGACTTTGGACAGCCTCAAACGCCTAAGCTATGCAGAATCAGGTCTTCGGTTACAAGAAAAGCTTACACAAGCGACGACGAGCTTGATGAGCTGAGTTCACCCTTGGCTCTTGTTCTTCTTCAACTGGCGGATGATTCTATCAAGCTCAATAATAATGGCGGTGCTGATGAGACAATCAGGTATCAACTTCTCAGGGAGTGTTGGACCAACGGTGGGGAATGACCACACATTGATGTGTATTTTCTGTTTCAATTCTCACTTGTGGCGACGGTGTTATATGTGTTTTGATGTTGATGTTGCTATGTATAGAATGTAGCACGAACTTTAATTAACAAAAGTAACAGTATCAAAGACATGTTTGAGCTTGACGTTGCGAGTGTGTTGCAGAGACGTCACAAAGTTGTAACAAGTGAGACTTGTTAATATACTACTCTTACCAGTACTAAATAATAATCATGGACAACATTGGGTTATATGGAAATTATTACTATATATATTTATAGACTCATTACATCCTTTTAAGTGTTTCATCCTCGTCACTTTAGAGATCTCTCGCAAAACTTTTTGAGTTTGCATATTGTGAAAGCAAAAAAGAAAATAATAATAATAATAATAGGTGGTGCCTGAAACAGACCCATCAAAAATGAATAGAGAAAGATCAAAATTTATAAAGCAAAGCTCTCAGACTATGATGTGTTCATCATCACAGAGTCAGCTTCTGTGAAGTCGCCAAATTCGCCTGCTTCAGATGCAAAGCTGACAATAAGCTCTGCCATGTTTCCGCTGATGTGGCACCGCCCACATGAAGGTCCATAAGTTTCCTCTGCTTCCTGTAGTACTCTTCCAGGGGCTTCACCTGATGCATCCCCATTTTTTAGTTTAAACAATTATCTATCTCACCATGTTAGTTACTAATAAGACAAGAGACAAACAAGAGTACCTCCTCTGCGTAGACACTCAGACTCTCCCTCCGGGCTTTGACTGCAACACCTGAGTGTAACATAGAGCCGAGGCGAGGTAGAGGAGCTGTTTCACTAAGAGCAGCTCGGTTTACCAGATGCTCCTCAGAGCATTTAAGATTCACAACGAGGTCAATCTGAGCTATTGAATCAAGAGTTTCCTACAAGAAAAAAGAAAACATTCAGAAACAGTGTAAAAAAAAGAGCTTCCATGTTTCAAAAACAAAAAGTGGCAAAAAAAACTCACGGCTTGATTAAGAGTGCGAGGTATCCCATCAAGAATGAAACCAGTTTCTCCCTTTGCATATCCTTCTTCAAGCCGCTTTGATAGCAAAGCAAACACAAGACCCTTGGGTACATGTTTTCCTTCATTTACAGCACTTGCAATCTGTATTTTAAGACCACATAATTAAATCAGCTCAATGTAATTAGAAACTAAAACCAAAACAGATGTTTTAATCATTTGTAATCAACAATATATTAGTAAATGATTATTATTTCCTTAAAAGGAAACAAAACATTTAAACAACTTTGCAATCAATGCAAGATTATAAAGTAAAACCCTAATTAACCTTATAAAAGGATTAACAACCCTAACAAACAAATACCTGCTTGTAGAGAGAAGACGTAGGGCTAAGCTCCTGACGGACCAACGATCCCATAGAAATGTGAGGAACTTCAAGAAGACTCGATAGCCTCTCTGCGAACACGTGTCTCCACGCTCCAGGCGCTCCCATAACCACCCACTGGACTCCCCTCTCCGTCCCAGACCTCTCCGAATCAAGCCTCGCCTCCTCCAAACGCCGATCGCCGCCGTAAAGGTAATCCTCGTCGTCGGTGTCGTAGTCAAACGCCACCGCGGCCGCTGATCCGAACGATCGGCGTGTTGAAACGAGTCTTGCAAGGGGGGAAACTCCTCTCACGCGGCTCAGCCATGCCATGGTAATTGGTGTTAAAAGGAAGGCGTGGCGGCGGATTCAGAGAGGACAAAGAGTAGCCTCAGAAAAGAGTTTGAATTTAAGGTTTAAAGAAGCAGCTGAGCTCTCTTAATTGCCCCTCTCTTTACTCGTAAATTCACGGATGTGCCACTCACTGCGTGTGCACCACACACTCTACTCTCAAGTAACATATGCTTGGCCCAAAGCCCATAACTATAGGCCCAATTGTTTTCAACGATCCAAAATGTCAACGAATACTAACCACACAGTAGCAAAACTAGAAAAATCTATTCACATGATGTAAGAGCTTGCTCATGATCACGGAAGGAGAAGAAGAGAAATAGTCAAAGTCAACGGAATCTTCCTCGTCTTAGTAACGAAATCACCGAGCAAATTCTTTTTAAGAAAGAAATGAATGGGAAACTTGTCAACTTTGGAAATAAAAGCCGCGGAAACTTTAAGTGTCTCTTGTCTTTTGAAGGCGCCGTAAAGAAACTTCAGAACACATATGTAAACGTACGGTCTAACTATGGAACATGTTTTTCAACGTTTATCAATATCAAACCTACCTGGTCCGATCTTCTATAAGTATTCCACATTTCTATTGATGCCTTAAAGCTCCAAGGAAAGAATATAGATAGTCTTTACTATATTGATCATATATCCCTTTTTTTCCTTCTCTAAAGTCTTTTTGATCTTTAATTATATGAAGAGCAAGAACGTTACAAAACGTGAAGAGTATCAAAGGGTATTTAGTTGCTTTGACAAGAGCCAACAAGGGAAGGTTCCTGTTTCCACCATCGAAAGATGTGTGGATGCTATTAAGTCCGGGGAAAAGGCCGTACTGCCAGAAGAAGAGACAACGGATACACATACTCATAAAGCCTTGGAACTCGAGGACTTCGTGAAGCTGGTGGAAGAAGGAAACGAGGAAGAAAAGGAGAAGGACTTGAAGCAAGCTTTCAGCATGTATCAAGAGAGTCTAGAAGGCATCACGCCTAAAAGTTTAAAGAGGATGCTAAGTTTGTTAGGGGAGTCCAAAAGCCTTGAAGACTGCGAAGATATGATTTCGCAATTTGATATTAATAGGGATGGAATTATTAATTTTGATGAGTTTAGGGTTATGATGCAATAATATATATACAGTTTTACAAACTAGCTACCATTCTTTACCAAAGGACTTGTAACAAGTCTTTGAAATTAAAGGGTACTCTCTCTTGAGACACACAATATTGACATCCCAAACTTCACCTCTGAGACCTTCATTCAACCTGAATGGCCGAATCTCGACCAAACGTGGAATCATCATCATAATGTATAGGGAAACTCTTGTAATTATAGATCTTTCTAGAGGTAGGTATTGAGATATACATTTGGATTCGGATTCGGATTCGGATCAGATATTTTGGTATACAAATATAGAACCCGTTTAGGTATTTTCTACACTTCGGATCCAAATTTGGTATATGTAATTCAGGTATTTGTAATTCCAGTCGTAACTCATGATCAAAAAATAAAATCTGAATCAAATAGTCAAGTGTATGTTGTAAGATAGAACGATATTGTATAAAACAAACAACAACACTTAACCAAAGATATACTCAAAGATAAAGAGCTACACTCCATCAAAACAACCTTAGAAAAATGTATCCTTCAGTAAAGTTGAAAAGTGTGGAAAAAATAAAGGCAGGACCATGAAAAAGAAATAACTGGTTTAAATTATTAGAGATTTAAGATATATATATATATATATATATTTCTAGATATTTTGAGTTGGGTATTATCTGGTCAGGTTTGATATCCAATCTCTTCTAATTTAATATTCGTTCGAATATTTTTTATAGATCAGATCATATTAAGATATTTTGAATTGGATTTTTAGATCGGTTTCGAGTATCTGATAAAGTGTCTATGCCTAGATCTTTCAATCAAAACCGGTCCATTTACTGAAGATGAGGATCTATGGATCGGGTTATGATTGATCTGACCCATTAACCTCTGCCCCGAATGAATATCATCTCTTGTATGATCCCCTTTTTCTAATTATAGATTCGTTTTTCATGTTTTACAAAACAATTAGATGAAATCAAAATATCTTAGATATTTCTAAATAAGATGTGACTACATATGTGAGAGGTGGACGTACATTTGTTGCGGCATGAAACACAATGACAAAATAAATATTAGAAACGAGTTAACAAAAAAAAAAAAGAAAAAACAAATTAACAACAAATCAGGAAAATAGTAAGATTAGATAAAATAATTAAAGTGTGGGGGAGCCCATATCATAATGTTAAGAGGACCAATACGAAGAGGCCATAATAAATTATATGAAAATAAACGAGAGAATTAAGACACTTACCAAATCGAAACTGCTCTTTTTGTCTTACCATTAACTTGGCTTTGAAGCCCCCATCTCAATACTCTACTCTCTTTGCTTCTTCACCTTCCTTCTCTCTATGCCTTTTTAGATTCTCTAAACCCACTCTCTCTCTCTCCTAACCACCATATAATTCTCTCTTTGTGTATTTGTACACAGACTGAATTTTCAGATGGGTTCATGTGTCTCCTCTTCTCACAACAACAACATCAAGACCTCCTCTGATTCCCCTGTTAAGCTTTCGGCTCTAATCTCTGAACCTGACACGACATCATCCCCCGCCAAGAATGACGTCATCAATCCGGCCACGATCAATGGGAACTCTTTCATAGATTCAGCTCCTCTGGATTCCCCAGGTGATATGATCATCTAATTCTTTGCGTTAAATTGCTTTTCGTCCAAGAAACAAATAATTAAAGTTTAAAACGAATATAGTACGTATTAAGTAACTAAAGTTGTTAATAGCTGTGATCGATTGGTTGCTTTATTGCCGACAAATGTAAAGTCGTTTGCTTTTTCAGGCCAAATCAAGATGTATTGACTTAGAGGTCGTATATATTAAGTCATACGCATTAGGTAGACGAATATGCGAGTTTTTTAATTTGGTAAAGTTAGTTTGGTGATGGTCATAAACATGGGTAAATGTGCAACGGGATCTATCCATTTACAAAAATAATACTACTAGTAACCACATGGACAACGGTGAAGCGTACGCCAGAGGTTAGAATGTCTTCAAGGCATATACAGTATATCCCCTATATATATACATGGACCACACTTCAAGTTGCAACTTTCATATATATATAAAATAAGCATAATGTTTAATAAATGTATGATGTTGAAACGTATTGTTAGAAATTCATAACAACCGTATAGTTAGGTATACAGCTACTGCATTCACTCAAAACCTCCAATTTTATTATACTTTGCAGTTTAAAACTACCATCCTTTGTGACATATTATATGAGATAATGATGATTTGGATTGTTTCTTAATGTAAATAAAGAGGAGATCAAGTTTTTCGATTCAAGGGGGTGGCTTGATTCTGACTGTGACGATGATTTCATGAGCGTTGATGGTGGTACGTATGACGTTTATTGAGAAGTTACTTCTTTATACAAATCTTGATCATTTCAATAAATAATTAATGAAATGAACATTTTGACTTGTTCCATTACAGAATTTACACCGTCACGAGGAACAACACCGGTGCACCACAAATTCTCTGACCAAACTCCTAAAACAGAGGAGACAAAACATGATCAAGAAGAACCATCTCCAACAGACAACAAGAAGAGACTCCTCGAACTCTTCAAAGAGACGCAGGATCAAGATGAGGTTGAAGAAGAGGATGACGTGGCAGAAAGCAAAGCAAGAGCATGTCTGTGGCTAAGAACACCTGTTAGATCTTCTGCACCGGCAACTCCTTATAATAGTAATGATACAGAAAGACAACAACTCAAGAGGGTGAAATCGGCGGCTCAAAGCGGTTGCGTTCTGCGTTTGGTTTCTTGTAGCAGCTTCACAGAGCGGCGACGGAAAATGATGAGTCATACCTCTGTTCACGTCCAACGCTAAGCTTCCCCTCCATACTATACATTTGGTTTCTTAATTTGTCCCCCCTAGTTTTGTTTAACTGCTCGGACAGTATTCTCTCCACAGCTCATAATAGCCTATTACGTTTGTAATAATGCACTATTATTTTCTAAATTAAAAAAAAAAAACAGATAACTAAACTTTGATTTATGAAAAATTAAATAAATTTATGCCATAAAGAAGTTGAAGCTTGATTCTAAAAAAAATGTCATCTCCCTCCCTATTCAATATAAAACTATTTTACCCATGAAATCATGTGACACAAAGAACTTGCACTTTATGCTATATCTCAATGTTATGTTGTTTTTTTTTTGTCTTGTCCTAAAATAATTGATAAAATATTGCAAAACATCTGTAAACATTTCTGACTCCATATAATCCGCCCATAATGCATGGTTCCATATATTTTTTAAAAAATATAGTAGGTAATAGATGGATGGAAAACAGAGGCTAACTTTTGTTCCTAAATCTCAAAAGATAATTCTCCAAAAACAAAAACAAATCCTAAGAGATAAAAGTTTTCCAGCCTTAACATAGGCAAAGAGAATACAATGCAATCATCAAATGGAAAAGCATTTCAGCTTTTCTGTTTGCTTCTTTTTGTAATAGTACTATTTGTTAACCAATTGTTCTGCATCGAAGCTCGAGCCAACTCCAGTTTGAATCTCAGAGTGACCGGATCTGCGTTACCTGTGGAGGCAACCTTCAAGTTTCCTTCACCATTACCTGTAATACCTCAGGATGGTGAGAGAAACTTTGGGAAAGGAAAAATAGATCTGGAAGGTCTTGAGGTAATCCAAGTCTCCATCTCAGCCTCAACATCACAGAGAATATGGAGAACTTTCGAGAATGGACCAGATAACAAGGGAGTCAGCATCTTTCAACCCATCAATCTTCCTAATGGTTTCTCCACACTTGGTTTCTACGCACAACCCAACAACCGTATGCTTTTTGGTTGGGTTCTTGTAGCAAAAGACTTATCGGGAAACAGCTTGAGACAACCTCTTGACTACATCCAAGTAGGAAACACAAACTCCCTACCCGTCAAGCAAGACGGACCCGCTTTTTTTTGGCAGCCTTTGTGTCCTAATGGGTATGAAGCGGTAGGCCTATTTGTCACTACTTCTCCTCAGAAGCCCCCACAAGAATCTATAAGCTGTGTTGGATCCCATCTTACGGAACAGAGCGAAGCTGATACATGGGTATGGAAGCTAGAAGGGATTATTAGTTTCTCAAGTTTGAAACCGGTTAACAGAGGAACAGAAGCGACAGGTGTGTACACAGGTACATTCACCTTCCAGCAACAAAACTTTCCTCCTCCATCTTTATCTTGTTTGAAAAACAGAAAGTTTTACTTATCTAACATGCCAAGCCAAGACCAGTTAAGACCTTTGTTTCAAACTTACTCTCCTTTTATTTATTTCCATCCCGAAGAAGAGTTTCTTCCTTCCTCTATCGATTGGTTTTTCTCCAACGGTGCTTTGTTATATCAAAAGGGCAACGAATCTAACCCCGTTCATGTACAACCCAACGGTTCTAACCTTCCACAAGGCGGCTCGGACGATGACTCATACTGGCTAGACTATCCAGCCGATAAGAACGCAAGAGAAAAGGTTAAGAGAGGAGACTTAAAGAACACGAAGGTGTATCTACACATCAAACCAATGTTTGGTGGCACTTTCACAGACATTGTCGTATGGATATTCTCTCCTTTCAATGGTGACGCTCGGTTAAAGATTTTATTCGTAAAGAGTCTCTCTCTAGGTGACGTTGGAGAACATATTGGAGACTGGGAACACGTTACGTTGCGAATCAGTAATTTCAACGGTGAGTTGTGGCGTGTTTACTTCTCGGAGCATAGTGGAGGAAGTCTAGTGGAGGCGTGTGATCTAGAGTTTCAAAATGGAAATAAACCTGTGGTTTATTCATCTCTTCATGGTCACGCGATGTTCTCGAGGGCAGGACTTGTGTTGCAAGGTCAAGACGGGAACGGGTTGAGGAACGATATGGCGAGAAGTGATAAGTTGTTGGATGCAGGTGTTGGTTATGAGGTGGTGGCCGGACCGGGAATAAGGGAGCCACCGTGGGTGAACTATTTTAGGAAATGGGGACCGATTATTAGATATGACGTTGAGAAGAGCATTGATGGTATCGCCAAGACACTGCCGGCAGTTTTGCGTAAAAGATTCCGTGAGCTTGTTCATAGTATTCCTCCCGAAGTGCTTCAAGAGATGGGTCCCACTGGTCCCAAAGTCAAAAGGTCTTGGTCTGCTGATGAGTAAAATAATACTCACTCTTTCTCATTTTAATCGATGTTTAAGGTTTTATTTTTGTTTCAATTTAGATAATATTTTCAAAAATTTTATACAGAATTGAATGTTGTTTAATGTTTTTGATCAGTTACATTATATTTAATTTTTTTATTGGTTGGATTAGCTTTAATTAATACAAAATGAAGTAAAATTAATAAATTTTTAATGTTTACAAAAACCTTAAACATCAACTAATTTGAAAGAGAGGAAGAGAATATATTTATTCATAACAAAAAGGCTAAATAAAAATTAATTGGTGGTTCTCTAAACTTTTATAAATGCAATTTAGGTTTCAAGTTTCTTTGTTAATCTGTTTTGATTCAGTTTATGTGGTCAGTTCAGTTTATCCAGACAAGGAAAGAAAGCTATTATATTATAGTAATGCTGAATCACAATTTATAAACAGTAGTAGTATCACATTATTTCATTTTAAGTGTACCGCATGAGTGACAACAAAAGCTAAGAGTAAATCACAGGTGTGTTTTCTCTTTTTATTAATTTAAACCCAAACTTTGCTCACACATTTAAAGTAAGTCTAGCTCTGAAACTTGATCTACAAGTTGGAGTGGCCTAGACGAAGAAGGACACGGTGCCACGAAGTGTTGAGCACCCCCCTTAGGTTCCATATTGACTCCACATTTTCCGGCTGAACATTGGCCGCCGAATCCACCTGCACATTCCCCATATTTGTTATATTATGAGGTCAGAAGCCATTTATTACAAAATCTTGAGGCTTTTACCGCTTTGGCGACGACTTCAGTAGTCTGGGAAACATCGATGGTGGCTTCAAACAACACCCAAGCCCATTTGTCGCTGGCGTGGTGATCAGAGATGTAATGCTTTCCTGGTTTCTGTGTTCTAGATGCTTCCACCCAGCTTTTACCTCCATCCAGGGATATGTCCATTCGCTCTATCCCGCGCCCACCTCCTGAAACCGCATATCCTTTAATGCTTACCTGCCAACAAACATAAAAGAGACACTCCTGCTTTACTTGTATTGGTAAAGATCAGATTAGAGAAGTGAACTGAAGAAGTTCTCACCTTTCCAGGCTTCACCATTTGCACGTCCTCCAAAGAGCAGATTGCACTCTGTTCACCATAAAAAAGAAAAGAGTACAAAGAAAATGATGTTGGGTTTAAATTCTATTATATGAACAAAAGCTACACAAGTATACATATAGAGAGATCGAGAAAAGATCAGTGGGGATTCAGTAAAAACACAAGAAAACCAGTATCAAATAAATGTACTTATGAACATGGCAAGGAAACTGTGGAAGATCCTTAATTTACGAGCACAAACATACTCAGGTATTTTGTAAGAGAGAGGGTAAATAAAACATGTGTCTACCTGAACAGGGAAATCCATTTGAGGCCTCCTTGAGGACCAGTCGATATTATCCCAATTGACAGAAGGTGGGAACATTTTGTAATCTTTTTGCATGAAGAAACCCTACAAACACATAAAGCCACCCTTTGATAATGTAAGAGGATTGCTAAAAAGAAACAGGGTAAAGTGAAGCATGAAACTTAAGCTGAGAGAGACCTGGCATTCTTCAGCGAGTAGATTGATGGAGTCAAGCCACTTGACAGAACGAGCACCAATCACACCGGGGACAACCACCCTTAACGGAAATCCATGATCCCTGTTAAGGGTCTTCAAAGAAAAAAAAAAAGAACATTCAAACTAAGTGATGAATGAATAAACACAAATGAGACTACTACTTTTGCTCTGCTGAGGAAGTAAAGATACCTCTCCATTCATCTCATAAGCGAGGAGAACATCAGCTTCAGGATTTGTGGCTTGAATAAGAGGGATAGACGCCTTGTAAGGCCCCCCATTCTCCTCCTATATTTCAGAAACAATCAACCAAAAATGCATAACTACTAAAGATGAAGGGAATTTGTATATATGTATATACCTTGCACTGATCAACACTGACAAACTCAACATGTCTGCCACCTAAACTGGTGCAGTCAGAGAGCTTTGGAATGCCCAAAAGCTCGAGAACATCAGCCAATTTGGCCCCACCCCAAACAGCTGAAAGACACAACCTTTGTATTAATACTATTATTATTATTACCATGCATTCTTTGTATTAGTATTAGACAAGTCTTTGGAGAAAGAAAAAGAGAAAAAGAGAACCGTTGCCAATGGCAGAAACATCCCATCCAACACCTCTAACATTCAAGACTTTGCTCATGGCTGTTCTTCTGTTACCCGCACACTGCAGAGTAGCAGTAACATTGTACTTTGGCAGACATCTGCAAAAAACAAAACAAAAAGAAAGAAACAGAAACAGACAGTGGTTAATGGCAATTTGATGAAGAAGAATGTTATCTCAAAAAAAAAAAAATAGACCTGATATCTTTGATGGACAGGTTTCTTGGTTTATTGAGCAAACCGGTGAAGGCGACGGAGTAGCTGATTAGAGGGGGAAACAAGATACAAAATCAGAATCGGTAAGAAGTGGAAGAGAAAGAAAGAGAGATGAGGACCTTGGAAGGTGATCAACAATAGGAATGGGACCATGATTTCGCTTGTAGAAAAGATTGACTGGAGTTACGTAAGTTTGAACTAAGGCGGATCGTGTTGGCTCAGCATTGAACGGCTCCTGTCTTATTCAATCAATACATATAAGTTATAACATAAGCAGATGGATCAGAGAAACAAAAGCAAAGAAGAAGAAAGGAGGAGGGCATGCTTGCCTTTGCGTTGACTTTGAGACTAGGGTCACGAGCTGGTTCCTGCGAGTATTCCGAGGGTCCTCTAATCCCAGGCATCTTCTTCTTCTTCTTTCGTTTGTGATCTTCCTTCTCTCTCTCTCTCCAAATGATTTGAGCTTTGTTGACTACTTGTAAATAGGGCTTTAAAGATTGATCAGCCCAAAACGATAAAAGGCTTTTAACGGCCCAATATCAGGATTTTGTTTCGATTAACAACTGTCTCTTTATTTTTTTTCTTAATATAGGCATTCCCTTTAGTGTTTGTTACACTTTAAAACTCTGTTGATGATTGCCAGTTTAATTACGTTAAACCTCTGCTTATAGCTCCCTTCGTATTTGATTTCACGTTTGGAAAGAGCTATAGATTCGATTAAATAACTAAAACAACATAAGAGTTTTTTGCTTTACTAGCTTGTTCCATATTTTTGTTTACAACAAAATTATTATTGCTTCGTCCAAAACCAAAAGTTATATTGAAACTTGATTGATCCATGTATGTTTGAGTAAGTAAGTAAATCACATGTAGGATTTGAGGCGGGGTCTCATAAGGGACTGAGCTCCATCAACAAAAACAGAAGTGCCTGTCATGAAGCATGAGCCGTTGCTGATCAGGTAAATCACAGTCGAGTATACATCTTTCTCCGGGTTGAGCCACTGGCCTAGAGGTGCAGCGTCTTTCACCAGCTTCTCCGCTCGATCTCTCCCTACGGAAACTGGATACTCATCTCCCAAGTGCAGCCCTCTAGAGATCATGTTCACACGTATCTTGTGCTTCCCTAGACTCATTGCTGATGCCTAAATCAACCACCATCATAAAAAACATTAAGTTTAAAGCAAGGACATGTGTTTGACTTGTTGAATGAATACATACCCGAACGAGCTGGTGAATGCCAGCGGAGGCAGTAGCGTAGGCATCAGCACCAGGGTAAAGCCCTCTCTCCCCACTAGCGATTGTGGCTAAAAACACAATGGATCCTCCAGATCCATGCTCTTTCATCATGCTTGCCACGGCCTTGAGGAGGTACCATGGAGCCGTGAGATTGATTTTTATGATTCTCTTGAACTCACCTTCAGAGACTTGGAGAATGTCCTGCATCTTACCTACAAGAAAAAAAAAACATATGTTGTTTGTTTCATCTTCCAAAGTAAAGGAGAGAGAAGAGAACCTTCGTAGGTATAGCAGTTGAGAAAAGCATCGATATAGCCGAGACGAGTCCAAGCCTTTTGGACAGCGACAAGGAAGGCATCTTGGGAATCAGCTTCCATGTTTAGTCCAATGAGGTCCACAGGGAAGGCGTCATCTACAGAAACTCTGATGTATTCTACAATGGAACTTAGAGAAGCCTCATCTCCCATCAAAACCAACCTGGGAGGCATATGAATATGAATAATCTTTTGATTTCACAGTGAAAAGGAATTGGGAAACACACACTCACCGGCAGCCTTGTTTGGCTAGTTGTATAGCGATGTTACGGGAAACTTCATCGCCGTTTGAGGTCATCAACACCTTCTTCGCCATTAGATTCAGAATACCTCCTTGAGGGAGAGACTCTACTTATTTTGGGAAGATGATTAGATAAGGCTGTCTGAACAATAAAGTTTAACCGAAACGGTGTTCCTTTTCCTTAATGATACCGGCCGACAAGACAAAAGCGATTTGCCGAATTACACATGATCCTGAGAACCACATAAGCCAAAGCCTTTTTATTCTTCTGGACTGAAAAATAAGTGAAAGGCCCAAAAGAAGGAGAGGCCTATCTAGATCCATTAATTAAGGCATTTTGCTACGGCTGAGCACGAATACTCGTTACTTGCTATGACCTTTACTCGTTTTTTCAAGTATTCATTATTGTCAAGTCAAGTGTCAAATCATTGAGTTTTACCACTTGCAAATAAAAGTCAAGTAAAATATCACAAAAAAATTAGGAACTCGGCTTGATATTACTAGTAACTTGTTTGCCATTGAAAAAAATGATAACTAAACTATAGAAACGAAAGACTTAAAATATATTTCTTTGTTGTAACAAATAAACAATATTTTGTTTCAGGATATTTATGTATTTTATTCCTTCTTCTTTATAATTAGGTATTTTGCCCGCATTTTGTGGGACTAAACAATTTATAATTATTTTATTAATACATATTTTACTAATGGAAAGATTATAATGATAAAGTATTAATTCTGCTTTATTTTTTTAAACCAGTAATATGTATACTTTCATTTAACAATTCTTATATATATTTCTTTTTAATTTATGTTCACTATTAAAAATAATTTTAAAAGCAAATAATATTTTTTTCAATTATATAAAATTAAAATTTTGACTTGATTAATATTTACTTATTTATTTTCTATTGTTTTAATTGTTAAATTTTTATCAAAATATATTTTCAGATAACATCACAATATATATCAGAATTATCTTATTTAAAAAGATATTATTTAGATTTTGGATAATTCTTATAATTATTATTAATTTTAGTTACTTATCTAATCAAAATAATTTAAATTCGTTTTTATTTTGTACTAGGTGTTGTGCCCGCATATGCGGACATAATTTTCTTACGAAAATTTATTATTTATTATTTTATTAATTTTAATATAATATTATAAGTTATTTTATAGTTTTAAGAAACCTACATCAAACATTAAAATATTTTTATATGAATTTTCATCAAAATCCATATGTTTATTATAGTGTTGAAAAACATCCACATAATAAAATATTTTGAAAATATATTTATATTTTTCTTAATATTTAATTTTAAATTGTTTTATAACTAAATATTTATTTTTCATAATAAAAATATTATTTCCAGATAACTGTATAATATTCTCTAAGATATCTTATGTTTTAAATATGCATGAATGTGATAATTATCCTATTAATTATAATAAATTAACTAATATAATAACATATAAATTTCTATCACTAATATAAAATTCGCTTTTAACTAATTTATATATAAATATATAAATTTCATTAAAGGTATCATTAACTTGAACCGTTCCAATTTTTAATATCTAATATTTAATTATATAATTAAAAGTATCTTTATACAAATGTTTTTGTTTGATTAATATTTAATTAAAATCGACCTTTAAATTTTAATTTTTAATTTTAATTTTTAAATTTTATTTTTTAAATTTTAAATTTTTAAATTTTATTTTTTAAATTTTATAATAGAATGATATTATAAATTATATATAAAATTAATATATATAAGCATTATCATGTTGTTACAATATTATATTTAGATGATAATAACATATATAAGAATTATCTTATTTTTGATCTTTTTATAAACTTATTATATTAATTATTCTAAGTTATCTAAGATAATAACATACTAATCTAATTTTATTTTTTAAAGTTCATTTTTAATTATAAAATTAGTTTTATATAAAAGTTTCATTAAGGTTATAATCGATATTAACCACTCCAACTTTTAACGTGTGAGCTCCGTTGCGAAAAATCACTATACAATATTATCTAACGAATAATTATTAAAAACTTAAAAAAATATTCAAATAATTCATAAGTACTTACAAGTAGTAAGTAATTGATCCAGGTAAGTAACTTGTAAATACCATATTTTTGGACAAGCACCCGAAATAACAAGTAATCATTTTCGACAAGGCAAGTACAGGTCCAAAATTCATTACTCGTTTAAAGAAAACCAAGTATCAAGAATACTCAAAAACATAAGTACTCATCTTGTGCGTATCCCTACATTTTGCAACTAAGGTCACTTGATATATGTCAATTTTCAAGTGGGAAGGATGGAGTGAATCTACAAAATGCTTTCCTTGCTCTAATTTGTCTCCTCCTCCCTCTCCTCTTCTTACAACCACATGACGTGGATAAAAGGATAATGATGCTATATATTAAAAGTAATGTCACAGAAGAATATATAATCTCTTTGAAAGAATTTGACCCCCAGAATCTCACTGTTGTGGCCAGGCCACGTCATATTTGGAATCTTGAGTATCATGTGCGTGGGCATCATTCCAGCACAACGGGGGTTGGGTGCCTGTTGGTGGGTGGGTGCGCCTTTTATCCTCTCTTTTCTTTTCTTCCCACTGACTCTCTGTGTCTGTCTTCTTAACTTGAAGGGACTCTCTCTCGCTAGCTTTCCCAAGGAGAGATCATCATAGAACCATATGGATGATGATGAATATGCCAAGCTCTTCCGTAGAATGAATCCCCCCAGGTCTTTCCTTTTTTTCTCTACTTGTTGATTAGTCTTATATAATACATACATACCCTCCTCAACAATATTTTCAGCCTTACCTATTTTTCATGTGTCACTGACAGAGTTGTAATAGACAATAACGCTAGCGATGATGCCACTGTTATTCAGGTATTTATTTTCAATCTGTATACTTTTCTGTCCTATTTGTTTTTTACATGTTTTGTTTTGTTTATTTGTTTCTTATCTTACAAACAACAGGTTGATAGTGTGAACAAACAGGGGACGCTCTTGGAAGTTGTGCAAGTCCTCACTGACATGAATCTTGTCATCAAGAAAGCTTACATCTCTTCTGATGGCGGTTGGTTCATGGACGTCTTCAAAGTCATCCACCAAGATGGCAACAAGATCACTGACCCTCAACTCCTTCACTTTATCCAAATGGTACCTAACTTTTTTCTCTGGTTGTTTAAATAATAATAATAATAGTAATAATAATAATTACATTTGACGCAGAGGATAGAGCGCAACGCTGGCTGGTTTATTCCACCATTAACAAGAAGCTCAGTTGGTGTCATGCCCTCTGATGAATACACCACCATCGAGCTCGCTGGAACCGACAGACCCGGTCTCTTGTCTGAAGTATCTGCCGTTCTCACAGACCTTCACTGCAACGTTGTCAACGCTGAGATATGGACTCACAACACCAGAGCTGCTGCCGTTATTCACGTCACCGACAACACTACTAATTCAGCTATTACTGATCCATGTCGCCTCTCCAACATCAAACATCTGCTGTGCAACGTAGTCGGCTCCAGGGATGCAAAAACCGTCTTTTCTGGCTCGGATACACACAGGGAGAGACGCTTGCATCAGATCATGTTTGATGACAGAGATTATGAGGGAGTCAACAAAAGACCAAGTGTTACATCGGAGGGGTCAAAAAAGCCCAGTGTCGTCACGTTGACAAACATTGACAAGGATTATACCGTTGTTACCATGAGGTCCAAAGATAGACCAAAGCTTGTGTTTGATGTAGTTTGTACCTTGACTGATATGCAGTATGTGGTTTTCCATGGCATGGTTAGCACAGAACCACCAGAGGCTTATCAGGTTTATTTTATTTTTTTAATTATTGTTAATGGGTTTAAAATGTAACCCTTGAGATATTTTTCTAACCATATAATAAAAATATGATGCAGGAGTTTTACATCCGTCATGTAGATGGTCTTCCCATAAACTCAGAAGCGGAGCAAGAACGTGTTATACAATGTCTTGAAGCAGCCATTGAGAGAAGAACGTCCGAGGTAATTAAACCAATTCACACTAGAGAATGGCTCTGTTTTTTTACACTTTTTTTTTTCTTATAATATACATGATAACATTTTTTTCAGGGTTTAGAGCTGGAATTAAAATCAGAAGACAGAGTTGGACTCCTCTCAGACATAACTAGAACATTCCGAGAGAACAGCTTAACGATCGTGAGAGCAGAGATTTCAACGCGAGAGGGCAAAGCTAAAGACACTTTCTACGTTACAGACGTGACAGGAAACGCTGTTGAGTCAAAAATCGTGGATTCAATAAGAAAAGAAATAGGAGTAACCAAACTTAAAGTTAAGAAACAGAACGAGGAATCCTCTGTTCGCAGTGCTTCCCAAGAAACAACAATAGGGTATTTGTTTAGCAACATCTTCAACAAATATAAGCCTCTCCATTAACTGTCCCATTAAAGTATTTGTGTTCATTGTATAGATAACAAAACTATTAATTATACAGGGTTAGGTAGAGGGTATCATAAGTTAAGGTGGTTGCAAAAAGTAACCGTCTTGTGAAACAAAAGTGGAGAAATCCACTTGTGTGTGTGGTCAAATAACAGTGGACATGTTTTTTTTTCTTTGAACAACAAACAGTGGACATGTTTATATATTTATGTTTAATAGTCCTTTGAGGAAACTTGTTTGGAACAGAGCTCTGACGATTGAGATATAAAACTTCTTGGGGGTATTTTGATTAGTACGCAGTAATTAGAATTAAGAGAGTAAAGGGAGCTTAAAACAAACGCACAACTCTCTCTAATTACAAACTACTATTATAACCTAGCCTGTCATTATAGCTTTCATTTGTTCCCTAATCTTCCCCATTCTTCTAAGAAAAAAGAAAACTTCAAAAGCTATAAAACAGAACAAAGAAAGAAAGTTTCATAGCCAGAGAGCGCCTGCCTCTTTGAGGAGAGGAACAAGAGAACCGTTGATGTGAGAAGCCATGACTCTGTCCATAGCTCCAACAAGCTTACCACCGATGAAGACCACCGGAAGAGCACCTGGAGAAGAGGCGCCTGAGCAGCCGAGGAGACGAATGAGTGCTCGCTGGATGTCGCCGCCGTAAGGGAGGAGGTCGAGCTCGTGAACGGCGGGGCTGACTCCCATTCCTCGGAAGAGACCCTTCACGGCGTGGCACATGCAGCACGTGCTCACGCTGAAGATTACCACAGCGCTCTCGGAGACCAGAGACTCTAGGCGAAGCAGGCTTGTGTCAGCTGCAAGCCCCACGTCGCCGCCGTATCCTAAGTTGCTCATCTTGTATGATCCCCACGATTCCATCTGGTATTGCATTTTTCTTTAAAATAAGATCTTTTGTGAAACAAAAGGAATAAGAGAGAATAAAGAGAGATCTGCCTTAAGTTTTGGTGAGGAGAGTGAGAGAGCCATGCAGAGTATTTATAGAGAAGAGGCGTGCTTTAAAAATAAAATAAAAACTTATTGTTTCTTTAATAATTATTACATTTTATTAGTAAGTGAGGTCCATCATTTGTGTATAATGATACCATGACATTTACTATTTATTCATTGTAAAAGATAAAAAAAAGATGACACATCAGCATAGTGAGGTGCAGGTGAAACCAATAATAGTATTAATAATCTATCGGTAATAGTATGTTATATACAGCTAGTGCTGTGTAATGTATCGGATTATGAAAAAAGAAGATTAAAATGAAAATAGATTAAAATGTGAAGAAAAAAAGGAAGCTGGAGAAGAAGTAGAACAGGCTTTTATCAGAGGGGAGTTGTTGGTAATAGACGGCTCTGTCTGTCCTTCTTGTCGGCTCTTACCACGCTCACCCATTAATTTCTTAATTTCTTGTCACTTAATTCTCTCTTTTTCATAGCAAAATACACTTACAAAACCCTACTCTATTTTTTTTTGGCAACTTTTACTTTTCTTTTTAAGCACAGCAAAACTCTCATTGTATTTACTTATGGATTGTGCAAGTTAAGTAAGCAGTAACATTTACAAGATAATGGAATATATTTTATGGATTTTGGCGGTAAGGTTTTCTTTGTATTCCATTTCTTGATATTCTTACCGTTTTTAAAATATAAGATCTTTAATAATATTTTAATGTTTTAAAAATATAAAATGGTTACAATTTTAAAAGTAATTTATAACTTACTAAAAATTGTGCAACCAATTCTATTTATTTTAGAATTAGTTAGATTAATTTAATATATTTCTAGTAATACTTAGATAAAATAACTTTTAATATATGTGTTTTCATTTAAAACACCTTAGTTTAAAAACAGGACAGACAAATTTATTATAAGTAGTGAGAGTATATTTGTAGTCATCATGTCGAAATGATTTGTTAACAAGTCCAAAGCTTGTGGATCTGATCCAGATCACATACACGTTATTATGCATGTATGCCTCCCAATAATTACCAAGTGTTCAAAATTTATACGAACAACACCTTATATTTATTTTTATTTCCTGTAACTGTTTTGGAGTCCGAAATATGGAATAGACTAATAATTTAGCACTGGTTAGAGCATAACAATTTATGAGGTTTGGACAATTTCATTCAGTTAAGAGTATTAAAATGTGCTAATCAGTAAACAAATAAATAAAATATTTCAAAATACATGCTGTTTGGCCTCCACGCTTTGTGTTCCTTACATACAAAAGTATCTCAGTAGGTCCAAAATAAATAAATCTCAAATAATAACCAAGCAAATAAGTGATGCCTGAGAGAGGAAGATATGAATGTTGAATAGAGTAAGAGAAGTCCGTACAGTTATGCTCCCTCCATCTGAAAAGAGAGTTACTTCTTTTGGTGTTTAAACTCACGTCCCTCTTTTTTGAAAAAAAAAGAAAATCTTTGCATGAATAATCGTAAAAGATAAGTAATCTTGTCGGATTGTGTTTGTCGGATTGCTTTTACAGTAACGAAAAACATTTTTTCTTAAAGAAGTCTTACGTAACACTTGTCGTATAATGTTTACATTTTTTGACCAACACGGATAGGTCCGATATAACTCTCTCGAGTAGCCGGTTAAACATTTTTTTTTGGTCAAACTGGTTAAACATATTTTTAAGAATTGAAAACTTTACACAGAAACTAGCGGGTGGTGATACCGTAGCAAATTTAAAGGCAAAATTAAACGTGAGAGGTGTGAGTGTGTAACCATTGTACAAAACAATGAAAGCTTACTGAAGGAATTATAAAAGCTTTCGGTTGCTGTTAAAATGTTTTCTTTTCTTCTGGAAAGTAGATGATTTTTAGCTATCATAAAGTATGAACATTGTTCAAGTATTTTCAATTCATTGTTATTTTTTATTTAGAATGCTATTAGTATATATATATAGAAATAATAATGAAATGAACATACTTTATCTTGGAATATATTCAGACTCGTTTTTATTTTCTGTAAAAAGTACTTTTTTATTTCATAATTAGAAGAAATTTAATATTTTATATATTTAGAAGAAAATTATAAATGTTGTTTTACAAGTATAAATTGGAACAAAATTCACATATAGTACATCCACAGTTATTTAAAAATAACAAACTGAAAAATGTATGAAATATGACGCATTCTGTAAAATTCGCATGCGTACAACCATCTTGCGTACAACTACAACATTTATAGGGACGTTGCCCATTCTGTAAAGAAACTCACACGAAAATATGCTTGTGTAAGATCATCTCCAATAATCATTCATTTTGAAGGAAAAGATAAAAAAAGTTAAAGAAACTTTCTCCAATAAATATATTCTTTTAAGGAAAAAAATAAAGTGTGAATAATATTTCTACAAATTTGAAAGAACACTATTTACAAACTCATTTTGGTAGTGATATTTTTATTTATAAATTAGTATTTATTTATAGTTTTATTTATATCTAAAAGATTTAATATTTATGTTTTATATTTTAAAGAAATTATTAATAGTTTAGTATAAAATTTTAAGTTTATATAAATTATTATATTTTTAGAAATTAAACTTATATGTATATAATGAAGCTTTAGTTCAAATAAATTTTATTTGGGTAAAATTTGTAATTTTTATAATATAATAAATATTTTGAGATTAACAATAAGTAAGAATAACATAATATATTTAAAATCTTCTTTTTTTAGAAAAAAACAAGGGAAATTTAGTAAACCAATCACCTCATTTTGAGAGGAAAAAATGAGATAAATTACTTGAGACGCCTATAGGAAATTTCACAATTCAAACGGTGAAAATAAAGAAAAAGTTAACATAGAATAAAGAAGAATGGATCGATCGGACGGGTAGGGTTAGAAGGCAGGAAAGGAGACGTACTCATCTGACTTATTCTATTCTACTAGACTATTAATTGATTAGTACAATATGTTACATGGAAATAAATTAAATTTAATATTAAAAGAATACGAGCGTGATGCTATCTTTTCAGCTTTATCTGGCTTTGCCATTTATATATAGCAGTGTGTATGTCTCTCTATGCACAGTATTTATGTCTTACTCTGTTATAATATATCCATTATATATATCCTTATTTTCCAAATTCAGTTTGGTTATTTACCTCTTACGGTGAAACAAAGCCGATAGACAGAGGAAAGGTGGGATACGAACTAAACCCTAAAATCAGCTTCAGAATTCTACCTTTTCGTCACTCCTGGAAGTATGATGGTCTGAGTCTTGGTTCCAACGACCAAGATGTGTACTCTGTGGGTTTTATTATTCATGCATATACATGTATCTATATATATACAGCTGGCGCATTTATATCTCTAATGTTATAATGTATACGTTCGTATCCGTAAATATGTATATATATACATATATAGAGATTAATCCTTAAATCCAGTCTTCAATTAACGATACTTCTGCGAGAAATAAGTAAAAAGAAAATGTCGCATATGTCGGTGTCGCGGCGAAAAGGCAGTGAGGGTATTGTGGGAGTGCTCACGAATTCCCTTGAATTATCTTTTACTTATAATATAAAAAAAAAACCTAAGCCCATGCAAATTACTAACTGCAACCTCACGAGTCACTTTTAACTATTTAACTTATCATCATTACCGCTAACTATCTTATAGTTATTTCACCAAAAGATAAAGTTTTTCATCGAAATATACGTCCATGCATATGCATGGCCTCTATCTTTTCTTTTGTCGACCACAAGTTTTTGTCTCAGTTATAATAACATGAGATCTCACTTGTAAAATTGTTTCTTACCTGCGTTTTTTCCTGATCAGAGATGACTCATGATAATTAATTCAGCTTCAAATAAGCCCTGCTATATATACATGTTGAATTTAGTATCAGTACTCTTGGTTGTTTGTAAATGAATAACAAAAAGTGTCAAGATGGAGTTTTTGAATATAATGCCGAACACCACCCGCCAAATTAGCCATCATTCCAAGCCTCTTCCTCAGGAAAGCTTTCGGTTATATCTTATATATTAAAACAGAAGTCATGACTTGATTTCATGTGTGATTTCTAAAAAAATGGACTGTTACTAGAAAGTTATGTTACATTAACTCTCTAATAATATTATCATTATTTTATCTTATAATATGCTTAACAATTTTGTTTTGGTAAATTACCTCACACCTTCCAACTTAGTCACGCAAAATATGTCAATAGATAT